CCTTCCACCCCCTTCCCCTTCTTCTGAGTGCTGAAGCTCATCAGGGTAAACAGATGCTGTGGCTGTTATTTATGTTTCCACTTGGTCTGCTTTTCATACAAATTATCCACAGGGCCTGCACAGTGCAGACGCCCGGCCTAACTGGGGATGCACTGGCAGATCTCTTCAGCCCTTACCCACGCACTGACTCTCAGAACATACCACAGACGGTGCGGGGGGTGGGGGGTGGGGGGGGCAATGTATCGATGAACTCAAAGACAAGAACAGTCAGCGCATCTGAATGAGCAGTTTGAGAGGATCCCTTCAGAGTGTCGGACAGAAGGAAATATAGAGGCTAGGTCCGAACATAAAACATTTGCTTCCAGCTTATACAGGAGTTCACTGAATATCTTTCATTCTCTGCATTTTTTATCTTCTTTTAACTGGTGAATCAGTGGCCGTCGTCTTCAAGTGTCCGCTTGAATCAGTAATATCTGAAGATGGAGCTGCAATAATGGATAAACTCTAAAAACCAGCTTCAAGGACAGTTCAAATCTATTGGAATTTACTTTTATCTTAGGTCTGCTTTGGCTAGTTGTTAGCTCATCAGTCCAGTCAGAAATAAACTCTGTTTCTCCAAAATGAAACCATTCAATGAGTTATATACAGCAGAAAATGTGACATTATTAATAATCTTTACCCATAATGTCAGGTCTAAGTTTATAAGATTTACAAGTGATTAGTATTTAATCTAGAATTGCCCTGATGTTTGAGTTATAAATGTTGTAAACCTTTGTTTCAGATATTCGGGATCGTCGTAAGAAACCAGTGATGCTGTTCATCCACGGAGGCTCCTACATGGAGGGCTCAGGGAACATGTTCGACGGGAGTGTCCTCGCCGCCTACGGAAACGTGATTGTTGTCACTATGAACTATCGGCTCGGCGTGCTAGGTAAGTTTGACAAGTCACACCCTCTCCATGACGATTTGTGCGCAGTTTGAGTCATTTTGGTTAAATGTTGGAAACATGTTTGATCTCCTGAGATTTCTGAGTCAGTAAAAGTTAATGAATTACAGCCATTGTTGTGTTGACTTTGAATTAAACAATACACAGAATACATACAGTAAATAAATCAATGTTTCTTATTGTAGCAAATACAATATGAAAAGCATTAAGATGTTAATTGTGGCCATTTCTGTCAGACATCAAGCCAAAAAAAACTTTATACTGATCCTGGATCTGATCATTTGCTTGAGCTTTGAACAGCAGATGGTGTGAGAAACTATTGTAAACTCCAGGTAAAAGTYTGCTGAAGCTAGCTGAGGAAAACAGAAGGTCCAGGACGCAACAGAAGCTGGGCCAGAACACATTATAATTATATAATCCTCTCACCAATGTGCTGTACAATTTATTGCTCTTATTAAGATCTCTGCTCTGGTTAGGGCTTGTTGGGCTCAGTTATGCTACAGATCATAGCTAGTGTAGCATCTTACGGCAACCAACAACAAATAGGTGTAATCTCTCATTTTAATTAGTCTAAATGTAATGTTATGGTGATTTTTATTTATTAAATGTTTTATATAAGTCCTATTGCCTCGTCCACYAGGTCTAGACTGGCTTTACCTCTGATGCACCACTTGTACCTCCTTCACACTYGAGGATAAAACTCACTACAGTGTAAAAATAAAAAAGTCAGAAACTGAATGGTCTTCAAGGGTGTATTAAGAGTGTAGCTGACTTCCTATTAATTGGGTGTAACTTGTTGTGGGTGGGTTTGAGCATTATGCAAAACTACCACAGTGACGTTGTGGTGGTCTGTCATCATGATGGCAGCTTATCCAGGTCCTGGGTGGTGGCTTCAAACCAGAGTTTTGCTTATTATGGCCCATATCCAGCCTAATTTCTGGAACCCAGAGATCTGAGGTTCTACTCAGGCCAAGCGGCTGGAGCCAAGATGAGGTCGTCTCTCTCTCTCTGTTACCGTTGGTCTTGAATTATATAAAGAATGAAGAGAAATACCATGAGCTTGATGCTGCCCATTGTGTCACAAATGAAATGACATCATGTAACGATTTGTGCGTTTTTGGTATGATGATCCATGCCCACATTGTGGCAGCACTCTGCTTAAAGCAAACACAAGCAAGGCTGGGGTAGAACAAGGCCAGGCTGGGCTCACACTAATGCCACTAATACATGAGGCCCACACACTCTGGTGTAGCTTGGTCATCAAGAAATTGAAGCAACATCTGTACCATTTGTTGTGCAGTATTGGGACTGTTGTAAAAGGCCAAACCAGATGCTTGTTTTTTATTATTAGCTATAAATAGGAAATCCATTAGTCGTTAATGGTAAACATTGGAAATGGGCAATAAAAACTGAAACCTGTCACACAGAGAATTTAAATTTTAAATATTTAATGTAAAAAATAAAATAAGCATGCTTTGCAGTGTTTCAAACACCAGCAACAAAGTAGCAACATAATTAGTTATTTTTGCATCCCTTTCTCTCCTTTGAAATAAAAGTAATGGCTTGAAAAGGTTACATAGGGTAGATGTGAAGAGCAGCTGCAGACAACTGTCATTGACAGACAATCTGTACGTTGGTTTCCTGTCTTCTCGTATGTGAAATATTCTCCTAGCCCTATTTCTTAAAAGTAACACCTAAACCTCTCCACTCACCAGCAGTGAGACTGCTATCACTGCAGGTAAATGCCCACTTGCCTTCAAAATAAAAGCTCTGCATATGCCAGTTTGAGAATAACAGCAGAGATTATGGATTTGTGTCCAGAAAGATGTATATTTGGTTTCTAATTTATTTTTACTGAGCTCCCAAATGGAGGAGAATAAAAAGCCAGATGTAGCCCACAGGCTGTAAATGCACATGCATGTTCTAGCATGTTGCTGCATCCTGATTCAGTCAAAGAGAGTCATGCAAGGGTGGGCAAAAAGAACAGGGTGAGGGTGCTGAGGGCTTCTTGGGGCAGGGAATAATAGCAAAAAACATATATGGCGAGGACCAAGAATATACAMTGAGGATGTTTTTACAAATTTGATGCAATCCAATCATTTCTAAAAGGCTGTAGGTTGAGGATATGTCGTCATCCAGTGTGAAGGAGGCTTTTAGGTTTAACATTGAGCCACAACCATTCTTTTTATATTCTATTTTATTTTATCCATTTGTTTTTATTACAGGGTATTGTAATTTTTGTCATCCTATTTTAGTTCCTCTGTGGTTGCACAGCCTGTAAGTGTGGGCTGAGTTAAGCTGTGTGTGTATGTGTGTGTGTGTAGCCCTTGTGCTGCTGGATATCAGGGAAGTCAAGTATTTACATTTGCCATCATCTTCCGGAGGTGTTTGCACAAAGACTATTTGCAGCAGTCCTTGTTGTTGCCAGGTTGGGTAATCAGATCCTGTTTATTGCATCAGGCCTGTTTCAACATATCACAACGGCGATAAACAGAGAAACTGGAGTAGTTTAGGACAGAGTCCAAGAGTTGCAGTGAGTATTAACAGAGGGCAACATAATCTACACTGTTATTGACAGTGCCTGTGGAGAGGCAGGGGGACAAGGGCAAACTCAAAGTTTTATAAAGCAAATCGGACCCAAACCCGTTGGGTTTCAGCTTGTTTTACGCATTCTTCCTGAGACAAATCTCAGATGTTAAAAGGGAGGATAATGAAGATGATAGGTCATAGTTGAATTAAAACACAAAGAGTCAAGGCTACAAAGCCTTAAGGTGACAATAAATATATATTTTGTAAGTTTATACAGTATGTTAGTTACTAAATTATGTACAATATATATAGATTRAAACGATCCAACATTTAATAAATTAGTTTGGGGGCTTATGCCATTTATTGCTGTATACATATCAGCTCAGGCATTAACACTATATATAGATTTTTATATATTAGCWYTGGAGCTAAYGCCGTACTGTRTAGGTATTAGCTTCAGCGCTAAMTAGTTTGAGAGCTAGCACTAAAGATAAAAGGCTAAAATTGAGGTTCTCCTTCCATGAAGCAGCWCTGTAGTCCTCCACCATTTTCAGTTGCAGGCTGAGTCAATTCTACATTCACCTCTCTGTYAACGCACTAACCAGYTTCATTTAAAAGGGCTGAACATCAGATCATTTTCCAAAACTAGATAGGGTTTGCATTACAGCAGCAGTTAAGCATCATCATTTACCCAGAATGCCTTGTGGTGTAAATAACATAGCAATGTCTGTGCTTTTATGTTTTTATTTTTTATTTATATAAACTAAACAGCCTACAGTTTTTACAGTCTCATTTTTATAGTTGAAATACATGTTTATCAAATAAACATCGAATGTTAAAACTAGTCTGTGATCTCTTCAAATTGCAAAGACCCATATTTAAGAAAAAGAACTGTTGCTTGCTTTTGTTTAAAAAAAAGGAAACGATTCCAAATATCTTCATTCGCCTCTTCGACCTTGTGTTCAGAGCGTAAAGGTGTCTGATTTACACCGACATCTGTGCTGTGATTCATATTTGAGACGTTTAAAGTGCGCCCGTGCATTTTAAACTGCCTCCATAACCCTGAAACTCCACAGGAAGTCATAAAATCCCATAGAAAAACATAAAGATAAAAGGTGGCGATGGCACCTGCTGAGTTATTATGAAGGATGATGCTGCTGTCCTTGATTCCGGTAAGATTGTTTAAAAATTTGTTTTTTGACAGGTGGGCGAATATGTGCGCTCTCTCTCTCGCACTCTCAGATATGCTTTAAATGGGTTACTGTACTAAGGCGATTATCCTTGTGCGTTTTGTGTGGCACAAGCATGTCTGAGCACACATCAACTCCTTATTGTGCACGTAAAAAGATTGTGTGCACTTGGAGTAATTAGTCGTGTGCCGCACGTAAAACATATACATGAATAATGCACCCATCTGTCAGAATTTTTAACGGCGCTCTGCTCTGACACAGCGCGTTTGAGTCAACGTGAGAAACAGAGGTAACACAGTGTCTTAATGGTTTTATGTTCTAATCTTTAGCATTATCCTGTACTTACACTCACAGGAGCTTACACATGCCAACCTCATTTCATATGACGCCTGCGCCTTTAAGAGAGAGGATCGGGGGAGTCGGCGGCAGGGTGAGAGGGGAGAGCAGGGAATAGAGACAGATGAGCGAGGGAGAATCGTGGAGAGACAGTGAAGGGAAGAGGAAACAGAAGGGTGGAGATGGGAGCAGTCTAAAAATAAACCCACACGAATGCTTTTTTAAATCTGCACTGAAGCAAAGTATTCGCCGGAATAAACGCTCCCTGCGACGTGACCGCCGTCTCCTATCGGAGCACTTCCCGCTGTTCGCTCCGACCCATATCCATGTGTGTTTAACAAATAATAATTTAAAGCACGCRTGTAATAATTTATGATGTGCTCAGCGGTTGTGCGATAAAATGGGTGAATGAGAAGAAAATGTCTGCTGCACAYAGCCGAGTCCAGAGCTTTGGACTGCTGTGATTTAAGACTTTTTTTTTTGCCTCACCTTCTCCTACCTTCCTCCTGCTCCAGGCTGAGAGAGCCCTCTGATTTGTGTTGCACAGCCATCTGTTCAGACTAATTAACTAATTAACTAATTAATGAACTCTAGGGAAAGGCCCACCATCGTGGGCTGCGAGAACATTTTTAACCTCAGGAAGAGAGATGAAACGCATCTCGTGGAAACGGTTCACTATTTTTTTTTTCTTTTCAAATTTCATCGCGTTTTGGTTGTTTGTTTCTTCTTTTTTTTACAGTAAGGAAGTAATTAAGATGTGTCGCCATATTAGATAACAGAAGTTCTTATAGTTGATAGAATCTATCTTTGTTAAACTAAAAATATATAGAGAAGTGTCCAAGTTTTAACATATTGCTGTTTTTCAGAAGCATGTTTGACAATGAGTGCCTGTCTGTGTGTTAGCATAATATTTGATGAATCATTGGATTT